GCGGTCAGCATGAACCTGGGGATATGGACGGAGGAGGCCACTGGGGGTCCCCCGGGCTGGCAGGGGGTGAGGGGCTCCTGGGTGCGGGCCGCCTGTGGCCTGGGCCCCCAAAGGTGTGGATGCGAGCGCAGCACGCCCTAGTTGTGGTGAGGTCTGCCCTGTCGGACCTAGTGCGGGACATGATGCACCTTGGGGCCCTCCGGGTCAGGAGCACTCTGTGACTGCCCTCTGGGCACTGCCTCCCTTTCAGTCCTTGGGACAAACATGTTTTCCATCCGGGCTGCAGGGCAGAGCCCCCAGGTGAAGGACACGTGTGCCCACACGTGCCCTGGCCACATGACTGGGACAACGTGTGCACTCATGGTGTAAGGACAGGCTGGGGCCGTGTTGTGGCCTCAGTGGGCGTACTGGGCAGGGAGGCATGTTTGCTTGGCTGCGGCTGATTATTTTCAGCCGTGGTTTGGGCTTAAGCAGGGCCCACCCACTGCAGCCCGGGCCTTAGGACAGGGGACTGGCCAGTCCTGGGAGGCGATGGTCGGCGGCTCGTCTTGTCGGGGGCCCCCTATCTGAGAAGGCCCACTGAGGCACTCACAGGAAAAGGATGATGCCCGTGTTGGCCATGGCGTAGGCCAGCCCCAAGATGCCGCTGCCCATGATGGCGTTGCTGAGGTTGAACACCGACATGCCGAACGACGTCTTCCCCTCGAACTGCAGGCACCAGGTGGGACGGCGAGGGTCAGGGACTCAGCAAGGCCCGGAATGTTGCCCTCACCGGCCCTCAGCCTCCCACCACAGCCCCAGAGCACCTCGTTCCTGCATCCAAGCTCCCCCCAGCGCCCCCGAGCCCCTGGCTGGCGCCCAGCTCACGTCGGTGAAGTGTGGCTCCTTGTTGGGGCTTTTCTGCAGGAAGCCTTTGCCCTCGGCACAGCTCTGTCTGGGGTCCTCGACCCTGCAGGCACAGGCCAGGCAGGCGGCTCAGCCTCTGTCCTTCACCCAGCACCTCTCAGGCCCTGGCCCGAGCCCCACCCCAACCCCGGCCCCTGTTCTGCTCACCTCTGGTTGCCCGCCATGGGGGTGATGACTGGGAGCAGCCCCTCCGCATGTTTGCCATTGGGCACCAGCTCCACCATCTCTGTCTCCAGAGGCGGCTCCATGGCTCAGGCCCACCAAGAGCACGGCTCTCACGCCAACGTGGTAGAGTCTGCAGGGCAGGCGGTCCCTCTGGTTATCCCTCCTTGGGCCACAGCCTGCCTCCCACAGGGGGCCTGCAGCCCAGAGCCCTCCTGGAGGACCCACGTGTACACGCAGTGCTGTCCGCAGCCCCCCAGGACCACCTGACGGACACCTCAGCCCGTGCATAGCACACCCCACACCCCGCCAGCACAGACAAGCCCCTGGGGCCTCCGTTTCCCACCTGCGAAGTGAGGGTCATCTAAATGACTTGAGCTTAGGGTCCAGTGGCACCACCACCCTGGGTGCCTAGACACCACTCTGGGTGTGTACCCTAGACAGACCCCCCCCAACGCTGGTACCGGGAGACGGTTTCCTACACCGGCCCTGTGTGCCAGGGGCCTCCTGGCCAACCTAGAGCAGCACTGTCCGACGGCTGGAGGCCTCGGGAGAGGGTGAGGGCTATGGGCCCTGTTCCCAGCCGCCCGGCGGGCACTGCTGGCAGCCAAAACAAAGGGCCCTCTGTGGGCTGAGAGCTGGCGCTGGGAACGGCAGGCGCAGAGGCCACCCCCCACCGGAGCCAGGAGGCCTGAGGCGGTGCTGGGTGGCTGGACACCTGGGCCCTTCCCGCCTGGCTACGGCAAAAGGCCCTCAGGGGGCCTTCCAGGAAACGGGTGCTCCAGGGCCCAGTTTTCTGGGCCACGCAGGCCTCGCCCCCCCATGCAGCTTTGGCCTCAGACCATGTCTCCTTCAAGCCTCTCCTCCCCTTCCAGGGCACCCCCAGCCGTCAGGTGTCCAGCACCCGGGAGTGGCCCCTCGGGGCAGTGGCTAGGAGCTCTAGGGCCTTGGCCAGCTGCAGAGGAGCCTGGGCCACAAGTCGGTCCTTCTGCCTAATCTCGGGGTTGGGCTCTGCTGGGCCCCCAAGGAGGCGGCGCCCCTGCCCGCCCTGCCCACTGTCTAGGCAGCTTGCCACCTCTTGCCGTCACCAGGCAGGAGCTGCCGACCCCATGGCCAGCAGGTGGCTGGGCACGGTGCCCCCTGGTCTGTAATGACATCCTGAAGGCCGGAGTGGAGACCAAGGAGGAGGCAGTGTTGCCCCCCAGGATGGCCAGAGACTGGGCCTGAGGCCATGGATCCCCCTCCATGTGGGGGACCCTAGATCATGCCCTGTATTCCCCACCCCCTCTGCAGACCCCAATGGCCTCGGTTCTGCTTTTTTTCTCTGGTGCTCTTAGGGACCCCAGTACAGCATTTGGGACCAGGGGCCAACAGGGAAGTCTCAGCTCAGGCTCTGCATCCTGGAGGCAGCAACCACACGTCACAGACTGATGGCCCCTCTCCCTTTGCCCTGGTACCCGGAGCCAGAGATCAGACCCTGGCACTCAGCCCTGCAGACCCATCCTGGCACTCTCGCACCCTAGCCTGCCTCTCACTCATGCTTCCCGGCCCCGCCCACTAGGGATGTGACCCTGGGGACTTATCTTCTAGAGCCTTCTTCCCTAGCCAGCGCTCCCTGGTAGCCTGTCCTCTTGTCCCTGCTCTCCCCTGCCATCAGCACCCCTCGAGGGTGTGGAGGTGCCATGCCTGGTCTCCAGAGTCACTCTGAAGTGCCCCCTGGCACTCAGAGAGGGTTGCCCTCACCCGGCCCCCTGCCCTGGGCAGGCCAGGACAGGCCCTGAGAGCGTGCTGAGTCGGCAACCTGGACAAAGCACCCTTCTCTGCCTTCATACCCTTTCCAAGCAGTCGGGCACCGCCTCCAGGGAGACCGCAGTCCACAGCGTGGGCCACAGAGCTATCTGAGGTCTTCACTTCAGGTCCCCCACCCCCTGCAGGAACTGGGCTGAGATCCCAGAAAGGGCATGGACTATCCCTCAAGTGACCTCTGGCCTAGAGGGGACAAAGCTCCCCAAATACGTCCTCACCATTACCCTATAGCTCCTGCTCAACCGAGTGTGAGCCACCTACTGCTGAGACTCAAAAAGGGGGAGGAGGCATCAAGGAAGACTTCCTGGAAGAGGTGATGAAGCCAGTCCTAAAATTCCAGTAGGCACCCCTGAAGTGTAGAACAGAAAGCATGCCTTGGGCAGAGGGCACAGCAGGTAAGGGCCTGGGTATGGCATGGGGCAGACTGTGAGGGGAAAGTTCTGTGGCTATAGACAAGCCTGACAAAGCCTTCGAGCCCAGGCCAAGGAGTCTGGATTTGGGTCTAGGGCAGGGCTGAGGGCTGGGTGGCCTGATGGGATGAGCCTTCCCCAAGGCTGCTAGCCCACCCTGACAGCTCCCACCTCTCAGGCTGCTGCCTTTTGGCTCCTGTGACCAGGGAATCAGGGTGAAGTCAGGGTCACGTGGGCCCCTATGCAAAGCTGTCATCAGAGTCCGACCACGTGGTGAACACCCACAGCAGACCCTTGAGTTCGAGGCCCACCCAGCCTGCCCTACTGTGTGGCCAGGGGCAGAGTACACCCCTCTCAGGACCTCAGTCCCCCATCCCCCTCTTATCCCCTAGGGGTCCCACGAAGCTTGGTCAAAGCTGGCGACGGGATGAGGCGTCTCCTGTAGCCTTCACCTCTGCACAGACCGGACGCCCTGGGAGTCAGGCTCCTGAGCGGCGAGATCATTTAGACCTTGTGCAGGTCATCAGAGTGTCATCTCTCACGGGTGCAGCGTGGGCCCAGGCAGGAAATCGATGGTCCAGGCCACTGCCCCGGGCCCTGTTTGCTCTGCTCTGAGATAAGGCCGGGAGGGTCAGGAGCCCCAGGGAGGGTGCAGCAGTGACGCCCGCCCCCGCCCACGCCCACGCCCACGCCCGTGGCCTCACAGGGTGAGGGTGAGAACCTGTCAGGCACACCTTGGCAGGTGTTGAATTTGGCTAATTAAAGATGTCGAGGCCCAGGAATCCAGGCCATCTCTGGCGGCTTTGGTGCATCAGCCGCCA